TTTAACCACGGTGGTTTAACCCATTAGCTGGCAATGCGCCCTTCCCTTGTCGAGCGCCAGAAGATTTTACTCGTCAGTGGTATAGGGTACTGCCAGTAAATGGGTTAACAAACCTATCTGCTAATGGCTCTTGTTAATTCATCAGCACAGTAATGACCCCTACTTTAGTATTTACCCTGCCCAACACCAGACGATTTTTAATACTCAGTCAGTGGTAGGGTACTGTCAATAAATGGGTTAACAAGGATAACAATAATAGGATATTTCTGAAGGACTCGTTCAACACCCTGTAGTTTGTCTTTTGCTGTCAAAGGCAGCATTACTGCCCTGTGGGTAACCTAGTACATAAATACTGTAGGTTTTCTGCTGTAGTCATAAGGCTAATTTATCTGATGAGTGCCACATCTTGTGGTACGAAACTAATAGTAATAAAGATGCCTAGTGGAATTTGTTGAGTCGTTGCACTTATTTAATTAATTATGCTCTGGATATCCATTGAGCACTCTGCCAAATGTTTTTGTAAACAACGAAACCTAATTCTATATATATATATATATATATATATATATATATATATATATATTATTTTATATTATTAATTCTGTATTTGAATGCCCATCTTATAAGAGCGGTGCTTTCCATGTATAGATAGCTATTATATTTATTTGCTTTTAGTTTCATTCGCATACGAATTCAATATGTATATATATATGTATATATATATGTATATATATATATATATATATATGTATATATATATATATATATATATATATATATATATATATATATATATATATATATATATATATATATTATTAATTCTGTATTTGAATGCCCATCTTATAAGAGCGGTGCTTTCCATGTATAGATAGCTATTATATTTATTTGCTTTTAGTTTCATTCGCATACGAATTCAATTGTTGCATCGTCATATTTGAGAACAATTGCATGTGGAATTAAATTTCCAACTTTGTCCGTTGTTATTTATTTCAAACCGGCCATGATTTTGTTAAGAAGTTATGGTATAACAATATGTATAAGGCAATTTTACCATGGTTCCCAGTGATCTTACCAAAATGTAACATGTTAATAATGTTAATAAATATGCAAAGAAGTCTACCAGGGGCATTTAAACTACACAGTCACAGTTGTTCATAGTCTAAAACCAACAAACCATTCCTAAAACATATCATGACTCCTTGAATACAATTATATAAGGTAATATTTTATATATACCGGGTGTCCCAAAAAAAAGTACTCCGGTTTGATTCGTAATAACTTCTAAGCAAGCAAACCTTTTAAAGAGAAATAACATGCATCAAATAGAGGAAGGACTAACTTAGATTTTGATATATTACAGTTGTACTTTACTTAAAAATTCACGGAGATATTAATGTTCAAAATCGGGAGCATATTTTGGGATGTGTCTAAAATTAGCGAAAATCGGCATATCAAATATTAACTTCAGCGTTTGTTTGCTTGATGACATATCAGGCTAACTTGTATTTCAGCGAATTGTCGTTAGGGTTTGTAAGGGATATGGCGTAGATTTGGACTTCTTACATGTAAGCTAAGTCTTAGCTCATTGTTTCCTGAAATATGAACGTACGAAATTATGCAAGTATTTAATAGGTCTTTACAAACTTTACAAATTTATAAGATACATGAAAGACCATGCAAGGCAGGCGCTTAAATTTTTCTTAGCCTAATTTTTTATGTTTTTCATGGGTTCAAAACAGAGTTGATTATTTCTCGGTTAGAGCAGGATGAATATTATTCTGCAATGAAGGAAATAATATTGCTTTTTGCAAATACACATCACAGTATGAACGCTACTATTTTGTTACGTTTTGTTCCAAAAATTTTGGATGTCTCTAGGGAGTTGCATGCTTAATTGTTATGTCTTATGGAGTTGAATGGTTTGATTGTGTTTTATTCTCAGTTTATTCTGAACTTAAAAAGATTAAGAAAAGGCAAATGAGTTTGAGTGTTCTTAACAAGATTTCAGAACGTTGCAGAAGTTAGAAGAGCTTCACAATTCCATTGTGACAGCATGCCCTAATTCAGAACTACGAACGATCCATGATGATCCTTCGCGATGCAGTGGTCTCATGAACACACACATGGTCTCATGAACACACACATGGTCTCAGGAACACACACAGATTTCGGACGAATAAATCTTGCTTGTATTTTGTAGATAATAATACAGACTTTGTTAATTTGTCAAGTGTCATTTATTTACTGGTAATCGTGCATGTTTCAGTCGGGAAAATCTTGATTAATATTTGATACGCCATTTTTTGCATATTTCAGACACATCCAGAAATATGCTCCCGATTTTAAACATTAATATCTCCGTAAATTTTTAAGTGAAGTACAACTGTAATATATCAAAATCTAAGTTAGTCCTTCCTCTATTTGATGCATGTTATTTCTCTTTAAAAGGTTTGCTTGCTTAGACGTTATTACGAATCAAACCAGAGTACTTTTTTTTGGGACACCCGGTATATGAATGCTGAACTCTACCTGGGTCAATAAGCTTTATCAAAGTTTCTGAATCTCTGTATGCGACACTATGAGTGTTCACAAGTTTTGTTTTACCCGCTCCGTTCGTTGCCAAATAGTAGTCGCGATACTTGACTGACTCAAAGATGAAGAATAGATGATGCTCATAGTTTAATCTTACTGGTGAAAACACATCACTTTTGTCCGTAAGATTGGCAGCCTCAGCTTCACTCTGCAAATATACATAATTGTATTATCATCAAAATATTTTGGTTTACTCTGGTTCTGTGATGACCTCTGTCTACAATAATTTTCAAATGTATTGGGACAGATGCGCCAACTTTTGAAAAAATGTAATCAACACCGTTAAATATTGGGTCTCACTTAGCATATTACTCTTGTGTGCAATAATGCATTCTGGATTGGGTAAACAACATTGAATGGGGAGGGGGAGGGGAATTGCTTGAAATGCATTGTAACGCTTTTGCATTACCAGAGAGATATATACGGTATAACTAAATTATCGAAGTATTGTATTGCAATGAAACTTACAATTGCAAGTAGTTCATCGTTGACACCCTGAGCCTTTAAATGATACTTTGAATTGTCGTGATAAAAGGTAATTATCACTCTCGTTTCAAAATCTGGAAACCCGGAAGAGACGTCTTTGAACTGAACTAACGCTACAATAAAAACACTTAAGTGTTAAAAAGTTATTAATCAGTATATGGCTCATGATTTTGAGTAATATAAAATAAACGAGAAAGGCTTTAAGGTTTATACTGGCGTGTAAATGATGTAGATGTTGTGAAAAATGAGGCGCTAGCAAAAATTTTCACTTATTTTCATTTGTACACGGGTAAAAGATAACTTTTCGAGGGTTTTATAATTGCTTCTCAAATGGGCTTGACTTTAAATTCAATGCGATTGTGAGTTAGTTGATGCGACGTTTTTTACAGTGGTATCAAGACAACGATATTATGATTTCCTTTGTGTTTTACTTATGCATTAATTAATTATAGTTCGATAGTTTAACAGTAGTCTGTGTTCCAGTCCGCTACACCGTTGTGTGTGAACTATGCAGTTATCTCAAATTTCTCGTCAAGCGATGTCCACATATATGGGGCAAATGTACATGCATGACGTAAACGCATATTTTGTAAATTCATAATTTATCCCCGAGCCAACGGCGCGGAGCGCCGTTCCGTTCGTAAGCCCGGGGCGAGGGAACTAGTTCCGCCAGGATATTTGCACCCTGGGAAAGGAAAGCATTACCGAAGTCTAAAGTTTATCAATAATCGCGGGTGCATGGTGTATGGGTGCACATCTCACTGATCTCAAAATATGGCTGTTTCACTGTTTGAATTGCCAGGAGTGTGACGGAGGCAAAACCGCAAATATATATAAGAAACATGTAAGAGAGCTTGGAAAATCGTTTCACATAACAAATTGTAAAACCTTTTTTCAATTTTTAAACGTTAACATTAAGAATTGATTTAGTATGAGAAATCCTAAAGTATAAGTTGATGATGAAAAGAAAAGCAAATTATTTTCATTAGCGTCCTGTTTGAATTAAATTTATTTCATTTCAAAGTGCGAGTAGTAAGTTGAAGCTCAAGTTGAAGAGTTTATCTGCAAAAAAGCAGTTAATTTCAATTCACATTTAAAAACGTTTTACGAAGAGTTTCGTGTTGAATTGTACATTAAAAAGAAGCCCATAGAAAGCAAAATAATATACCTACTTTATATATTTTAGAAATTGATAGTTCTGTATTTTCAAATTTCATTTATTCTTTTGCAGTTTTATGCACAAAATTAAAAAAAAACCATTATCGTGCTGCCATGGCTAACATGATGTGTCAACGCGAGCCTGCGTTCTGTGTTAGCGTAATTACGAATACTTCATGTTGAAACAAGGTTTGGAAAATATAGGCGAGGGGTTGTTGCATGCACGTATTTCAATTCTAGTGCAAGTCTAATAAACATGGCCGTCGAAGGAGTGTCGTCATGAAAAATTGAAAATATCAAATACAAGTGAACGTGAAAGTAAATCGGCTTGATGAAAGCATCCATTTCTGAAGAATGTGTGCTTTAGAGTTGATAAATCAGAAAGATTTAAATTTTGTAGCTGGCTTACGCGAATGTTTTCAAAATTATTTTCAAATATCAAAATTCTTGAGTTGTTATTGGTTGACGAAACGATGGGAATTTGCGAAGACAGGGGCCCATCAATGGCAAGGTTCTAGATAATTAAGAATTCGTCTCTGATTGGTTGATAGTTATCGCGTGGTTATCCAACTCTCGGATCGGGTAATCTCTACTGCTCTATACCGAGATTTAATCATTTTTAACCGATGAAAAACCGAAATATGTTGAAACGACCGACGACTTTCCATTGGTCGTTGTAGTAATTTTGTTGCTCGCATTCTTTTTCCTTTATACTCACCATCAACATCGGTACTGGCATTTTCAAGGTTCACTACACCTCCAAAATCCACCTTCATTCCTCCGGTGATATTGTAACTAGGATTTATTCTAAGATAACGATCTCCAACATGACTATGTATCGACCATAATCTTGCCACAGACCCGCCACAAATAATACAGGGTTGCGGATTGGGAGCCATTGCAGAGATTAAAATCACAACCTGAAATTATTGGAATATTTACATTTATATAACCGTTGCATGAAATCATACAAACCAAAATTGTGTTGGTTTACACAATAAGTTAATTAAAATGTATATGTAAATGCATCCGTTCTATTTTCTTTGCCATAGACGTATATTGAATTAACCAGCAAGTATTTATTATAAACTTCGCCACATACTAGGCTAATTTTAATAACATTATAAAACAAAAATTGCAAGTTTTTCTAACAAACTGTTAAATAATTCATCCAGTTTGCCCTTTATAATTCATGATTATCTTATACCTTGGGTGTCCATTAGCAATAATGCGAAGCTCAATTCCCTTGTGGTTGCTTGATCACTCTGGCCACATGGCACTCTGCGCATGTCTGGATGCCCTAATGGCCCGTGGTATATATATATATATATATATATATATATATATATATATATATATATATATATATATATATATATATATATATATATATATTATAAATTTTCAAAGTAAATAAATTATATTTTTTACGTTTCGGGGACAAGCCCCTTCTTCAGAATAACGCTACATCATCTCCGTCTCTTGCTTAAATAGTCTAACGTTTAGCTATACATAAATTAATTAAACCTCTTCCCTTAAATTAAGCCCACGTGGGACATAACTATTAAGTTTCTCAATCCAAAAGCTCTCCCTCTCAGTGGGGTTATTAACGTCCGTGACGTCAATAACCTGCACTAAAAAATCACTTAGACCTGAATGTCCCTCCCCCCAAAAATGGGCATTCAATTGTTGCCCACAAATATTTCTCTGCCCCCGCCCAAATCTATTTAATGCACTCTTGTGGTTATTAAATCGCAATCTGAACGGTATTATGGTATTCCCCACATTTTGCAACCCACAGAATTTACAACTAATCAAATACACTATACCCTCCGAGTCACAATCGAAGCGATGATTAATGCAGAAAGACCGCCCCTCAACTTGGCTTTTAAAAGTAGCCCCAATAATAACATTGTCACAAATTTTACATTTCTTCTTTCCGCACTTAAACATCCCCACGACCGTTTCCTCTTCCCTTCTCAATTTAGAACGGACTAAGTGATCTTTAAGGTTTTTAGACCGACGAAAACACACCATTGGTGGTTCCGGCATAACACTTAAAAACCTTTCAGACCAACTTACAATTACTTGCAATTCCCTAAAGATATTATAAAGGACCCTCAATGCTGGATGATAATCTATCACAAAACAGTTCCTATTACTATTCTTAACACCTTCTTTCCGCATTAACAAGTTATTCCTGTCGACTTTTCTCACTCTACCAAACTGGTCATCAACAAAATTCGAATTATAACCCCTCTTCACCAAAAAACCTTTTAGCTCGCTTAGTTTTTCCTCAAAAGCATTTTCCAAATTACAAATTCGCTTTAAGCGCAAACCTTGAATATAGGGAATCGCTCTCTTGACATGTGGTGGGTGACAAGATTTAAAATTCAATATATATATATATATATATATATATATATATATATATATATATATATATATATATATATATATATATATATATATATATATAAACCCACCATTTAGTAAGGGTGTTAACACGAACATAGGACGGGAATTCTTAAGTTTAATTGACAAACTCTTTCCACTACAGCACAAACTACACAAAATTTTCAACAGAAACACTTTAAAAGTAAGCTACAGTTGCATGCTATAATCACCAAACACAACGCACATGTAATTAGGAACAGCCAATCACAGAACACGGAAACTGACAACTGTAACTGCGACAACGAAAACACTTACCCACTACCGAAACAATGTGTGACCAACAACATTATTTACAAAGCCACAGTCAGAACGAACAATACGAGCGACAATAAACACTACATTGGTATGACAGCGACTACATTTAAGGAACGTTACGCTAACCACACTTTATCTTTTCGTCATAAAAAGACTGAAACAAAACGGAACTTTCGAAACATATTTGGAAATTAAAAGAAAATAATCAGTATTATACCATCAAATGGTCAATTTTAAAACACACTATTTCGTACACAGGGGGATCAAAACGCTGCAATTTATGTTTGGAAGAAAAATTTTGCATTTTGAAAGACATAAACAAAGACAGTTTACTCAATGAAAGAAGCGAAATTTTCGGCAAATGTCGTCACAAAAACCGTTTTCGAGTAAACTGAATGAGGTTGAGCATGATATGAAGAATTACCAAGCCCTCAAATTGCCGTTATCAATCGAAGCCGAAGGTCGAGGTTGATAACGGCAAACTGAGGGCTTGATAATTCTTCATACTGTGCGAAAACCGAATTCAATAATTGTTTTATTATTTATTTAAAAAATTCAAAACAAACGGAAGCCATTTGTATTTTATTTGTTTTCAGAAAAAAAACAATTAGTTAGTCGTCGTCGTCGTCATATCAATGGCGTCGGCGAGTCAAAATGATTTTCGTCGTCATAGTAATATGGCGCAAACGCGTCCAAATTTTTTTCATATAGACTCTTTGACGTCATTTTGCTAATATGAATGTGAAAAATCCATTTTTGGTTAGCCATTGAGTTGATATGACAATTTCACAGTTGGCTGTTAGTCAATCAGAAACCAGGAACTTTTTAAATAAATAATAATTATCACTTCTTTACTGAGACCGAGGGAAACAGTGTGTTTTGTGGACCCGAGACCGCCGTTGTTGCCCGAGGCGAAGCCGACGGCAACAACGGCGGTCGAGCAACAAACAACGAGTTTTACCTAAAGAAGTCACTTTCGATGAAATGGATGACAATATTTCTGATTCTGAAAGTGAATGTTCATCGCTTAGCGAGGGTAGCAGTGCGGACGATATTGGTCTGCCTAGATGCTTTACCTAATGTGTTGGTCAAGGACTTGGCGGTATGTCGACGTATAATGTTAATAATGCTATGATGATGATGAATCCTGGCCATGTACAACGATTAAATAAGGATACTTCGACGAGACGTGGTTCTATAGATTTTCTAGGCTTACCTAGCAGTCAATCGGATGAGAGCTTACGGCATTCAAATTCCTATCCACAGCTCAATTATAATACCAAAACAGAGCGAAGTAGATCTCTGCCTAACTTAACAGAATTAGACAATATTTTAGTGGTTTTGACCAATCGGCAAGCCGAAAAATTGAACTTTGACACTAACTTTATAACAACAAAACTTAATGACCCAAGAATTGTTTGGCGTAACGGCACTGTTTCGCCTAAGCACTGTTTTGCCTATAAGCATTGTTTCGCCTACACGCATTCCGCGCATTCTTTCGGTAGCATAAAAGCAACCTATATTTTCGAAATTTGTCACCACCTGTTGATTCCTATACGGATGAAACAGACTGTAGTGGGTTTTTGAGGTAAAACGAAAAACTATATTACGCTCTATGTCTATGTGATATTGAGCACTGTTTGTGTTTTGTAAACCAAAAACTTAAGATATAGCCTATATATATATAGGAGCGGGTAAAACAAAACTTGTGAACACTCACAGTGTCGCATACAGAGATTCAGAAACTTTGATAAAGCTTATTGACCCAGGTAGAGTTCAGCATTCATATACCGGGTGTCCCAAAAAAAAGTACTCCTGTTTGATTTGTTATAACTTCTAAACAAGTAAAGCTTTTAAAGAGAAATAGAGGAAGGACTAACTTAGATTTTGATATATTACAGTTGTATTTCACGTAAAAATTAACGGAGATATTAATGTTTAAAATCGGGAGCATATTTCTGGATGTGTCTGAAATATGCAAAAAACGGCGTATCAAATATTAATCAAAGATTTGCCCGACTATAAAACATGCACTATTACCAGTAAATAAATGACACTTGACAAATTGTTTATTATGAAACAAAGTATTATTATCTACAAAATACAAGCAAGATATATTCGTCCGAAATCCGCGTGTGCATGTTGCTAGCACGAATACGTTTCCTTATTTCATGAGGCCACTCACGGTATCGCGAATAATCGTCATGGATCGTTCGTAGTTCTGAATTAGGGCATGCTGTCACAATGGAATTGTGAAGCTCTTCTAACTTTTGCAACGTTTTGAAATTTTGTTAAGAACACCCAAACTCTTTTGCTTTTTCTTAATCTTGGCAAGTTCAGAATAAACTGAGAATAAAACACAATCAAACCATACAACTCCATAAGACATAACGAGCAACTCCCCAGAGACATCCAACATTTTTGGAACAAAACGTAACAAAATAGTAGCGTTGATTCTGTGATGTGTATTTGCAAAAAGCAATATTAATTCATTAAAGAATAATATTTATCCCGCTCTAACCGAGAAATAATCAACTTTGTTTTGAACCCATGAAAAAGATAAAAAATTAGGCCAAGAAAAATTTAAGCGCCTGCCTTGCATGGTCTTTCATGTACCTTATAAATTTGTAAAGTTTGTAAAGACCTATTAAATACTTGCATAATTTCGTACGTTCATATTTCAGGAAACATTGAGCTAAGACTTACATGTAAGAAGTCTAAATCTACGCCATATCCCTTACAAACCCTAACGACAATTCGCTGAAATACAAGTTTGCCTGATATGTCATCAAGCAAACAAACGCTGAAGTTAATATTTGATATGCCGATTTTCGCAAATTTTAGACACATCCCAAAATATGCTCCCGATTTTGAACATTAATATCTCCGTGAATTTTTAAGTAAAATACAACTGCAATATATCAAAATCTAAGTTAGTCCTTCCTCTATTTAATGCTAGTTATTTCTGTTTGATAGCTTTACTTGTTTAGAAGTTATTATAAATCAAACCGGAGTACTTTTTTTGGGACACCCGGTATATATATATATATATATATATATATATATATATATATATATATATATATATATATATATATATATATATATATAATTTCCAGTCTTAAATCCGTCTGACCGTGTAGCTCAGTTGGTAGAGCGTCGATCTAGTAATTCGAAGGTCGCGGGTTCAAGACCCAGCCGCGGCAGACAACATCTTTCTGCTTGCGCTGGGTATGAAAATTATATAATACACACTCTAGAACATTTTCATCTTAACATATTACAGAGTGTACAATTACACAACTAACATATATATATATATATATATATATATATATATATATATATATATATATATATATATATATATATATATATATATATATATATATATATATATATATATATATATATATAATTAGGTTTCGTTGTTTACAAAAACATTTGGCAGAGTGCTCAATGGATATCCAGAGCATAATTAAATAAGTGCAACGACTCAACAAATTCCACTAGGCATCTTTATTACTACTAGTTTCGTACCACAAGATGTGGCACTCATCAGATAAATTAGCCTATCCTATATATATATATATATATATATATATATATATATATATATATATATATATATATATATATATATATATATATATATATATATATATATGTATATAGATAAAGTTAAAATAAACCTGGTTTACTTCATAAGATTTATATTCACTACAAACTTGTTTCGTATGACAAGCAATGCTTGCCACACTCATCAGGTGAATTTAAATGTCACGCTATGTTGTTGCTAAGGTTATATATACTATATACATGTTTGACGTAAACGGAATGTTCAAGTATTAAATTACGTATAGATTACATATATATATATACAGATTATATTAAGTAATGTATATTGCTTAAGAGAAATTTGTTTCTATGTCTGCATTTCGACAAAAGTTCACTTCTTGAATTTAAAGAACAAAGTTCAGGGTGGTAGATTATGATGACTTTTTCATGTGTACAAAGACTGCAGCGTTTCGTTGTGTTGTTGTAGCTCTTGCATTGCTTAATAATACGCCAGTTTATGGAGTACTTGACCTTCGACTCTTTAAGTTGCCAGATGTATTTGCTCAGCTCTGTGGCATTTCTATACTTGCTTAATCTGAATGAGCTATTGTGGCAATAATATCTGGATTTAAACTGTCCTTCAGTATGTCCGACATACGATTCCTTTTGATTCGTATCGTTCCTAACAACCGTTGCTTGGTATACTACGCTGGATGTTAGACATTCACCGGGCAGTGGACACGAGGACTTATTCCTGCAATTGCATTGTCTTAGTTTCGTGCTGCATGTTGACGCATCTGTTGAGGTGAGCTTATTTACTGCAGATTTATTGTGCCCAGAAATTATATTACGAATGTTGGGCATGCAACTGTAACTCAGCTTCAAGGTATTTCTGTTAAATATTTTATGGAGAGGATTGTTTTTAGGGAAGCAATCATCAATTGCTTGGAGGAATTTGTGTCCGATATTCGTTTTGACATTAGAGTTGTAAGGTGGATTAAACCATATAACGTTTCTGTTTCTAGTGCGTTTTGTCTTTGCATGCTGGGGATTGTATTTTAACTTGTAGTTGTAACCACTCTTATGTAAAGCATCTTGGTATGGAGGACAAGCTGAATTAAATGCTTGTTCGTCAGACGAGATGTTGGACAATCGATTGTTAATTGCATCAGGAATTGCCTTTAAAACTGCGGGTGGGTGATTACTCTGACGATGGACATATTGAAGCGTATTTCCCGGTTTCATGTACGGTTTAAATGAGGAAGTTCTTAGATCAAATGTGACATCTAGGTATAATTGACACATTTTTTGTTAGCTTCGATTGTAATCTTTAAATTATGTTCATTAAAAGTTCTGCAAATTTGCTTCTTGATATTTTCTGTTGCTCTCGGTTGTTTGTCAAACGCTGCAAGGCCATCGTCTCTGTAGAGACCAATATCATTTCGATATTCTGGAGGAAGTTTGGATAGTAGGAATAAACCAACTAGCTCGCATGTTTCCGCACCATCAAAACTGCCCATGTCGTTACATCAAAGAGGCTATCTGACTCTTTCTTGCGCCAAGTTTGATTTCTGCTGAAGAGAACTGATTTCTTCGCCTGCATTATCATGTGCTTCCCCTCATCGTTGATGGTGTTGAACGGGGAAGCAAAGGTTAAGGCATTAAGAAGCAGCTCTTCGGTAATGGATGGGTAAAAATGTACGATATCAAAACAAATGAACGAACGAGATGACTTGTTAGGTAAATTCTTAAACCATGAAATAACAGAGTTTGTGTTTTTCCATTGATTTAAGTTAGTATGGATCAAAATATTTGAATTGATACTTTGCAGGAGTTGTTTACTGATGACACCGATTTCTGATTTGGAAGGGTTGATTAGTCTACAGGTTGGATTGTTCTGAAAATTTGGTTTATCACCCACCCGCAGTTTTAAAGGCAATTCCTGATGCAATTAACAATCGATTGTCCAACATCTCGTCTGACGAACAAGCATTTAATTCAGCTTGTCCTCCATATCAAGATGCTTTACATACGAGTGGTTACAACTACAAGTTAAAATACAATCCCCAGCATGCAAAGAACAAACGCACTAGAAACAGAAACGTTATATGGTTTAATCCACCTTACAACTCTAATGTCAAAACGAATATCGGACACAAATTCCTCCAAGCAATTGATGATTGCTTCCCTAAAAACAATCCTCTCCATAAAATATTTAACAGAAATACCTTGAAGCTGAGTTACAGTTGCATGCCCAACATTCGTAATATAATTTCTGCGCACAATAAATCTGTAGTAAATAAGCTCACCTCAACAGATGCGTCAACATGCAGCACGAAACTAAGACAATGCAATTGCAGGTATAAGTCCTCGTGTCCACTGCCCGCTAAATGTCTAACTTCCAGCGTAGTATACCAAGCAACGGTTGTTAGGAACGATACGAATCAAAAGGAATCGTATGTCGGACATACTGAAGGACAGTTTAAATCCAGATATTATTGCCACAATAGCTCATTCAAATTTGAGATTAAGCAAGTATATAGAAATGCCACAGAGCTGAGCAAATACGTCTGGCAACTTAAAGAGTCGAAGGTCAAGTACTCCATAAACTGGCGTATTATTTTAGCAATGCAGTCTTTGTACACATGAAAAATTCATCATAATCTACCACCCTGAACTTTGTTCTTTAAATTCAAGAAGTTAACTTTTGTCGAAATGCAGATATAGAAACAAATTTCTCTTAAGCAATATACATTACTTAATATAATCTGTATATATATATGTAATCTATACGTAATTTAATACTTGTGAATAAATCTTATGAAGTAAACCAGGTTTATTTTATCTTTATCTATATTAGCTCTATACTTCGGCCGGTATATCGAGCACTCTACTCATATATGATTCTAAATACATATTTGGTATATATATATATATATATATATATATATATATATATATATATATATATATATATATATATATATATATATATATATACGAGTAGGTTTGTGATATATAGACGAGTAGGTTTGTGTATACGAAACGCAAAGAGTGCTCAATATCATAAAGATAGAGCAAATGTAGAATTTCGCTTACCTCAAAATTCCGCAACAGTCTGTTTCATCAGTAAAGAATCATCAGATACCGCCTGATGATTCTTTACTGATGAAACAGACTGTTGCGGAATTTTGAGGTAAGCAAAATTATATATATATATATATATATATATATATATATATATATATATATATATATATATATATATATATATATATATATATATATATATATATATATATATATATGAATGGGTGTGAGGTACCATGTCTGGATAGTGTATGAACTTGGCTTTGGGATTTCTTCAGACATAAAAATACACAAAGTATATTTTCCAAACGTTTCGCCTTTTACGGCTTCTTCAGTGGAATGTTTTTTACAATAATATTTCCTCCTATAAAAAACATTCCACTGAAGAAGCCGTAAAAGGCGAAACGTTTGGAAAATATACTTTGTGTATTTTTATGTCTGAAGAAATCCCAAAGCCAAGTTCATATATATATATATATATATATATATATATATATATATATACGTGAATTGTTGCATTTTTTCGCACTAAATTGTTTAACCGTTCGCCTTCTAGAGCTACTTAAGGTGGCGACACCAATATTGCCACTTGTCCAAATTGAGGATATTAGGTTTAAACATATTATGGAGCGTCATAAAATATTTTAATGGTAAATGGCTACATATCTTTTCTAAAACTTGTTAGTTAGTTGTAGCCAAAATCGCAAATTAATTTTCTGTAAAAATAATGAAGCAATCCCCAGAAAAGGGGAAAGACTAGCGCCGAAATCCCAACATTTCCTCTTTCATGGAACAAATTGAACGGAAAACAGCAAATTTAAGGCATTTTCCCAACCTTAGCTTGCCTTTGTCAATTTGCCAGGGATTTTTCATCTTTTTTATTAATTTCTACAAGAAACAAAAGTTTAATAATAGAGATAAAAAAATTTTGTTTTTGAGCAAAAAGGTGGGTAGAAACTTTAGAAATCTTTCTGCAAAGTTTGCATTATTTTTAACCTAATTTCTGTAATTCGCCACCAAGTATCGCAAGTATCTCTAGAAGCCGAACGGTTAAGTATTTTGGTGAGATAAATACTACGATTGATTTAATATGATTGTTTTTCAACCCACTGCAAAAAATTTGAACCTTTGATTAAATATAGCGAAGTAATACCACCAAATATGACAGAGGGCATTTTTGGGGGGGCACCCTGTATATATATATATATATATATATATATATATATATATAAGAATATTCATAAAAAAATATCGTGTTATCATGACAACTACTTTACTAACTTTAGATACTTCATGTTCGAAAAATACAATGGTTTTGTCAGCAAGGCGAGGGTCTCTGCATGCTTGTATTTTCTATCCAGTGTTTTATTCTAATTTGTTGACCATCTAATCCACGAGCCAACGGCGCAGAGCGCCGTTGCGGGTGTAAGCCCAGGGCGAGGGTAGAAATGGCTGACATCATTAATAAAGCCCGCATCAGACAACGCTCTGTTGTCATCACCAGTGGCGTAGCTGGCTCAAAATAATCATCCCGCCGAAGTTTCAATACATCTCCATTTAATTAAACAGGAATATTTTGCCTTGCTAAGGAACCCCATAGACCGATGCACGTGCAAATCACGCTACACGGGTAATTTGACCCTTAGAATCGATTTCCGACGTTTCCCGAGTGCTAGCATTGTTTTGGATATTTGAACTTGAACCTCCGGTCACAGCTCTCGCGTAAAATTTAGATATTTTGAAATACCGAAATAAAAGTGCAAATCTGCAGATACAAGCTTGAACATAACACTCTAAATAGTCTGTTATATTATGATTCGAACACGACTAATACCAAAATGAAACGTTGAAAGTAGCCGAAGTTATATAATTTCGGCGAAAGGTATATATGGCTTATTAAATAGTGATACATTGTTTACATCGGTTCGAGTATATTGTATATAGAAATGGTTAGTTTGCATTGTTCGAGTTTGGCTAGTTTATAATTATGACTATTTTACATTGTTCAATTACATAATATCTTTCAAGCGGAATTTTTTGGTGGTATTTTCGTATTTCTACTGCAAATACTCGCGGAGTTCTTTAGTATATGGAATTGAGTTGACAACCTCCGCCTTTATGAAATAGCGGGACTTCGGCATTAAAAACAGCCGTTCTGAGCATGCGCTGCGCCAATTATCCAATCAGAAACTAGAATTTCTTGTATAAAATAGTATTGCATATCCCGCCATATGAAAATCAGCGGAACACGAGACATGCGATTCACGAATTGCGTGAGTAAGCAATAATTGCGTGGAAATTAGCTAATTTTGGGTTTCAGAGGTCAAAGAGCAGACAGCAACATTGCGTAAACTATAAATAAATAAATGAAAGCACTGAAAAATGATCATAATTATATAAATTTTCAGAATAAGAAAAGCTGTTAATTTGGCTTCACTATAAAGCATTTCCTCATTTTTTTATGAAATTTCTAGTCCCGCCAGGCGGGACAGCAGGACCGCTAGCTACGCCACTGGTCATCACCCTACTTGATCTCAAGGATGCTTTCGGCGAAGTCCACCACAATCTCATCCAATCAGTACTCGACTACCACCACATCCCACAGCACATAAAATTCGTTGTAAAAAGTTTATACACTGATTTCCAAACCTCAATAATTACCTCCGAATTCCGCACCCCTTTTATATCTGTTGGCCGTGGCGTATTGCAAGGAGATTGCATCAGTCCTCTTCCTTTCAATATGTGTTTAACACTTTCATCTAGCATATCAAAGCTGAAAAGTACCGTCAGTTTGGCTTCTCGTTCAAGCTATTAAATCCTATCCACTGGTTCCAGTTCGCTGATGACGCAGCCGTAATCACTGGCCAAGAATCTGCAAACCAACATCTCTTAAATCGTTTTTCCATCTGGTGCCAATGGTCTAATATGATTATCAGAGTCGATGAATGTAGTATCTTTGGCATCAAGAAAGCCATTACAAAATCAGTCCAATATTTGCCTGAACTCCTCATTAACAATTATCTGATACCAACAATAAAGATTGGAGAAGCATTTCAATATTTAGGACGTTACTTTGATTTTAACATGTCGAATAATAACCACAAGACTGAACTAACCACTCTCGTTAATGAACTAATGACTCATATTGACTTGAAGCCACTCCACCCAAGAAATAAGCCTCTCGTGTACAATCGTTATGTCTTACCCAAATTATCCTGGCATTTCACCATCGCAACACTTTCTAAAACATGGGTTATTAAAAATATTGATCCCGTATAGTCAACCAATACATCCGTAGATGGCTTGAAATTCCAATCTCAGGAACACTAAGTTCTGTTTTTCTAACTTGTGACAAATTTGGTCAAAGTATTTATCCTCCATCGGTAAAATGTATCCAATGCCAAACAGTTCTTCGAAAAGCTTTAAAAATTTCTCCTAATCAATCAATTAACGAACTGTGGAGATCAACTAATACTCATACTGATATCCAATACGACTTTTATAACTCAACCAAAGAAGTGTTTAAAGATTTTCGCTCTGAACATGAAGGTAAACTCAAAAACCAAATTAACTTGTCAGGAATCCTTTTCCTCTATTGTAACAAAGTTCTCCCACAGGGGGTCCAACTAAGAGCTGTGTTATGAATATGAATAAAACATTAATTAAACGTAATATGAATAAAACATTATAACGTAATATATTTAAATTATTGCACTTACTTGTATAAATCATAAGAGCTTGCCTTTGCACTGAATAGTTTCAAACAGAGCGCTTATATATGCTCAGAATGATTGCTTCGAACGATTGTTCAAATATGGCGAATAAATTGACAAAACGAAAATATTACATGACGTTCCAACGAAAATAACAGCAGGGATTGCGGGCGCGCGAGCGAAAAGTCGAGGGAAGAAATAAATAAAAGGGATGAAACAAATATCACGTGACTTTTTAAAATGCTTCTAGACTATCCGTTTAAGCTTTTTGTGGTATTTTTAGGGCTCAGTAGATGTTCTCTTACATGAACAAGCCTAGTCATTACCAAAAAAAGCACTGATCAATCTAATTTATGTGATTTATAACAGCGAGCATTCTTGGCCATTTTCGCGAGATGTGTTCCATAACTAGCCTGGTCTCGTAACGTAATGACTAAATAATAATAAAACTAAATAATGTTAAAAAAAAACCCGTTGTCGCTACATTTAAATATTTCATATTAGCCGGTACAGCTAAACATTGTTTATTTTCATTAATTAAGCGCGTAAGCGTTGTTGGAGTTGGCAGGAGGTGTTTTGGAATTTTCCGAGAAACCAGGTTACTTATGGAACACATCACACGATCGCATTACCGGTGTTTCATCCCTTCTATTAATATCTATTATCCTCGACTTCCGCTTGCGCCCGCAATCCCTGCTGCTATTTTCGTTGGAACGTCATGTAATATTTTCGTTTTGTCAATTTATTCGCCATATTTGAACAATCTTTCGAAGCAATCATTCTGAGCATATATATATTGATATATAAGCGCTCTGTTTGAAACTATTCAGTGCAAAGGCAAGCTCTTATGATTTATACAAGTAAGTGCAATAATTTAA